ATTTGATCTTTTCTTACCAAGATCTCTCTGTCCATGCTGCTTTAATGAGTTTATGGTGTGCAAACAACCAAGCTTTCTTCCACAATGGGAAAATGTTGGAGCAGCACATTCCATCTTTGGCTTGGCTGGATATAGCACAGCATTAGACAGCCCAAATACCTGGAGCCTTTGCTTCACACCAGAGAGGTCCTTCCCCCCCCCCCCTTTTCTCCCCCCCACAAAGCACGGGCACGTAACTGGGACAAAAACCAGCTTCAGAGTCTTTAAAAGTAATTTTCATACAATCCTGGGAATTATCACCTCAGCAACTTTCTTCAATGGTGACTTTACATACAGAGGTAAGACTGATATAAAATGGTGCATTTAGACATATATCTGTTTCTAGGAGACTTATTAGTCATTTCTTTGAAAACTATTTTTTAAATTCTCGTGTCATCCAACTGTTGCTGAACAACTAGTTTCTAGTTCAATTAACAATCTTTGTTTCAAACTGCATTTTTTGGAGTAGATTCTATTTCACTAAATACAATTGTACTCATCTGTATCTGTCTCCCAAAATTTTTTGATTTATAATTCAGGCAGTTGCTTTCCTTTAAATGTAAAGGATGACTTAAAATATAAAATTTTTAGTTGATGGTTGTGATTATTGTCTAAGATACCAAACAATTATATACAATAAACTGTATATTCCATGGTTAAAGTCTGTATATTGATCTTGGTATTTTGATTACAAAACACATAAAATTTGGTCCCATTAGAATCTCATAATAATAAAAAGAAATACAGATAGAATACTTCAGATTGATATTAAATGTATAAAAATCCCACTTTGAGCTAGCAAAAACCAAAAGTAATAGTTCATTACTTGAATTCCAATAAAGAACTGTATTTCACAATTGTCACAGTCCCACTACCTGGCAATAAATGTAACTGCCTTAAAATCAAGCTGCAAGTTTAAAAAAACTTCTCAAATGTTTTTCCTGTAACACAAAATATTTAATGCATTAATATAGGCTGAAAACTTGCAGACTCAGTGTATTGGTAATAGAATATATATCCTTTAACTTAAACTGTAGGTTGCCCATGGAGCTGTCTGGAAGAGGAGCATAGTATATTTATTGGCATCATGCTCCTTGTCACTAACTCCAAACACTAATATATTCCCCTCAATTTGCAATTACACAAAACACATGTTTTATCCACTCTGTTTTGCAACATTTCTTGGATAGAATGAATAGAAAAGGGTAAGTAGGTGAATTTATCTTTCTTTTAGAGTATGAAATATGGCTGGCAATTAACCTTAATTGTCCAGTTTTTTCTGTTGTTCAGGACATTCCAAACCTTACAGATTTGATGCTGCTCCCAGGTCAATTGAAAAACTCCCATTGACCTGAATGGTGCTTGATCAAGTCCTACATCAGCATCTTTTTATGCTTTCACTTGTTTACATTGTTCAGGTATCACTGATTAAGGCAAATTTGCAGTTCTGTGCATGATTTCTGCCTGTACTACAATGGAGTTTACTTATCTTCATAAGATAATTTCCCTTGACAAAAACAACGAGGAGTCTGGTGGCACAGATACAGGCATAAATATATATTGGCACATGAAGAGAAGGGAGTTACCTTACAAGTGGAGAACCAGTATTGACAAGGCCAATTCAGTCAGGGTGGATGTGGTCCACTCTCAATAATTGATGAAGAGGTGTCAAAACCAAGAGAGGGAAAATTGCTTTCGTAGTGAGCCAGCCACTCCCTGTCCCTGTTCAAGCCCAAGTTAATGGTTTTAAGTTTGCAAATGAATTGTAGCTCTGCAGTTTCTCTTTGAAGTCTGTGCCCTTCATGTGCCAGTATATCTATGACTGTATCTGTAATTTTCACTCCATGCATCTGAAGAAGTGGGTTTTTACCC